ATCTACCTAGAAAAAAATAGTGTTTTCATCTAGGTGGTGGTATGAAATTAAACCACTATAGGTCAAATGAGTCAATCCATGTTGCCACGATTAAATAATAAAATGAAAAAAAAATGGAAACATTTTTAACACATATTAAACAATAATAAGTATGATAAATAAGAAATGTTTTTATTAATGATGGAAATGGAATATAAAATTTTAAACCAATTGGAAATGAAAATATTTTTCTGTTCTCTCTCATTAAATCCTATATTTAAGATATATTTTTCTCATCATTAAATTCTTGTAATTAAATCCACAATATTAATTTTAATAGTATAAAAATAAATATTTTGAAAAGTAATTTGAAAATAAAACCACTTTCTTCCCTCCCGGTGGTGGGCAAGCAATTCGAACATTTGAGGTCAAATGGATTAATAAATAATGTCATAATTAAATAATAATAATTAAAATAAATAAAGTATAAAATGTAAGAAGTATTTTTATTAATGATGAAAATGGAACGCCAAATTTAAAATCTACCTAGAAATGAAATGATGTCAGTCAAATAGTAAAATTTTTAAAAATAGAAAATACAAAGAATCACAAAAATAAACAAAATGATAAAGAAAATTTTGGGCACATAATTAATGTTATATATTTATAAAAAATAAAATATTGGGTACATCTATAATATTATGCATACATTATATTGAATAAAAATAAGTATTATACATAAGAAATAATTCTATCAATGATAGAAATATAATACAATATTTAATGTCAACCTAGAAATCAAACGTTTTTTTTTTTTTTTTGTGGTGGGATAGTGGTTTGGGTCAAATCATATCATAGACAAACAAAAATCAAGTGTGATAAGTAAAAGTTATTTTATATGATGTAAATGAAATATATAATTTAAAAATAATCAAAGTCATACATTTAAAATTAGGTTGTAGGTTGATCTAGAAACCAACAAAACTCTAACAATCGGATCTACATTTCAAACTATAAAAGCCCCTACCATGTCATTGGAGGCTTATGTGGTTGTTTCCAACATGAGATTCTTAATCCATGCTGGACACAACAAAAAGCCTATACCGAAAATAAGTTTTCAATATCTCTTCCGCTTCCTCTATCTCTTGATCTCCCTCCCTTCTCTCTCACTCTCATAGTCATCTTTCGATCTCTTGCTCCCTCTGTCTCTCCCACTCTCTTAGCTTTGGTCTGTAGCCAAATCAAAACCTTTCTCTCTCTCTTTCCCTCTCATTTTTCTCCCTCACTCATCATCTCGGTCAATATCTCATTCTCCCTCAATCTCTATTGTTCTCAATCTTTCTCCCACTCCCTCTCTCGTTCTTTTTTTTATTTTTCTTACAAACTTATACAATATTAATCAAACCATATAAAAGAATTAGAGGGACCAACCACTTGTACAAACAAGTTATAAATTTCTACCAAGTTGGTGTAAATTTTATAGTCAAGAGTTTCTTATGAATTTTTATCAAATTGGTGTAATGATTTTTGAACCATACCAAGTTGGTCTCATGTACTTTTATATGATCTGATTAATACCATATACGTGTGTAAGAAAATTAAAAAAAAAGAAGAAGAATAAGAGAGGGAATGGGAGAGAAACTGAGGGAGAGCGATAGAAAATAAGGGAGAAGGAGAGATCAACCAAGAAAGAGAATGGGAGAGATGGAAGGAGAATGATAGGTAGAGAGAATGAGAGAAATTGATAGAGAGAACGTAATACAGAAACCAAAAACCATTTTTATTTATTTTCAAATCGCACAATCATTGAGCAAAGAGAGACAATTGTGAGAATGAGAGAGTGGGAGGGAGAAAGAGAGGGAGAGAGACTAAAAACTCTTTTTTAATTTCCAATCACCTAGCATTAAAGGGCAATTTTGGTATAAGATTTTTGTTGTTTCCAACATGGACTAAGAGTCCCATGTTGGCAACAGCCACATAAGCCTCTGAAGACATAGTGAGCTTTTTATAATTTGAAATGTAGAGCCATTTGTTAGAATTTTGTTGGTTTTTGGACCAACTTATAGCCTAATTTTAAATGTACAACAACCTGTTCTAATTATAATTTTCCTTAATTTAAAACTAATCTAAAAGAAAAGCTATTTTCTTATCTAGATGGTAGGTCAATGATCCAACTTTTCAAAGAAACCCATGAGGTCATAATTGAATAATAAATATTTAAAAAAAGATAATGAAAATGTACAACATTTTGTCAGAAGCATTTGAGAACATTTCTAATGTTATATATATTCATCATATTAAATAAAAATAATTGTTAAAATAAAAGTTATTTTTATTTATGATAAAAATAGAATACAAAATTTAATAATAATAATAATAATTATTATTATTATTATTTGCTACAAACATTTAAGTTTACTTTTAATCATATTGTTACTTTTGTTAATTTTCAGTTTCTATCTTAACTATGAGGTATCTAAAATTCAATTAATTAATATGAAGAAAAATTTCTCACGTGCAATGCATGTACTTAATTACTAGTTATATATAAAAGTGCCAATTGAGAGTGAAATTTTTTTGAATTAAAATTATCCTCTATTTCTTTGTTTGATAAAATGTATAAAAGTCATTTTATTACAGCTTTAATGGCTACTAAAATGTCCATATTTATGTATTTAGTCCATCTCTAATCACAAGGGTTAAAGATGTAACTTCAATTAATACTTTCCACTTCATTTAACCCCCTCTCATTAAGTCTTATATTGAAGGTATTAACTCTCATTTTCTCTTATTAAATCTTATATTTAAGTTATTTTCACTAATAAATACTATAATTAGATTTATGTTAATATTTTCAACAATATAAAGTCATATATTTTAAAACTGATTCAAAAATAAAACCATTTTTTATTCAAGTGGTGGCTAAGCAATTCAACCATTTGAATCAAATTGATCAACCTATGAAGTCATAGTTAGGTAATAAAATTTTTAAAATAGAAATAAATATAGAAAGTTACGAAAAATGTAGAAAAAATTAGGCACATTTGTGATATTTTATTAATCAAATTAAAAAATAAGTGTAATATAAAAGAATTATTTTTATCGATAATGAAAATGAAATACATAATTTAGAACTAGCCAAAAATTAATTTCTTTTACTGTTTGGCAAAGATCAATAGTTCAACTTTTGGGTTAAATGTGTTAACATTTGATTTCATAAATAAATAATAAAAACTAATAAAATATAAAAATGAAAAAAACACATAAATTTTGCAAAAAAATAAAAATATTTAAATACATGTATAATATCATATTAAACAAAAAGTGTGACATATCAAAATTATTGTTACAAAAAGAAATAAAAAAACTATAGAAAAAATTGAACACATCTATAATTATATATTTATATTACTATTAAAAATATGAATAAGATTATGCAACTTTCTTTTGCCTAAAATACTCATTTTTTTTTAATTTAGTCCCTATTTAATTGTGAAGTTTATATTGTAAATTGAACTACTACTTTTTACCTCATTTAATTCCTTATATTTAAATCTTACATTTTTTTGATAAATAAATAAAAAAAGATACACATAAAAAATAAAACAGTACAAAAATATAGCCAAGCAGGTAGGCTTGTTAATGATACTTGAAACTTCACAACTTGATTCAATTATTACATATTTGGATGAGGTGTTTTTGTTATCAGATTTGGATTTTGTAATATCCAATTGATATTAAATATATATATATATATATATATATATATATATAAAATAAAAAATAAAAAATACATATTATTGAAAATTTTGGATACATTATTGCTATCATTATCGTCATCTACAATTGCCATATACAAAATACATACACGCTTACTAGTATTTTAAAATCTGTCCCGGGGGATGAACTATTTTCCCCTCCAGTTTGATATGGATCGTTGGTTCAATCCTCGGTCAACAGATCAACCCACGACCATTAAAACAAAAGTTTTCACAAAATTAAAATCTAATAACCTAATGAATGGGCCACCAATTCAATCAACAAATTGATGGGTCATCAAAAGCCAACAGTTTTTTTTTTTTTTTTTTTTTTGTGTAGTATGACAAGTTAGAGATTGAGTAAACCATGTAAGTATAAAAGAAATAATAACAAAAAATTGTAACCGGGTCACCGGTCTGACTGTTTGGGGGTGACAATATTTAGTAAATTTGTGTAATAAATACATAAATTATATGCACAATAACAGTTTTAAAAGAAAATGTCTCGAGTTGTAAACTTTTCAACGATATGGAAAAACATACGAATAATTTAGAAAAAAAAGTGTATAATTGATGAATAGTTCAGATTTTGAAAAATATGGGCACAGAATTTTGAGAACTTTTAATTACATATACATTTTTTTAAATTTGAAATTTTATTTACATTATATATTTAATATCTTATACACATATTTACATATAAAATTATATATGTGCCAAACTTTTTACTTTGAACCTTTTAAACGAGAACAAATGAGAACATGAATGCATAACTAATCGATTTATGCCTCACATAGATTTACCAAGTGTGAGGGTGACGTAAATAGAAAAATAAATAAATTTATAATAAAAATGACAAACGGAAAAGATAGAAACAATTGATATTATACAACATAAACCTGACCCGACCCGATTAAAGGCGGGGTGGTTAAAATTGTTCGGGTAGCTTTTCTCAAAGTCTCAAACCCGTAACTGAGCATTCCCACGTTTCCCCTTTGAAACTTTCTCAGTTGGATAACTGATAGAGTGCATGAGAATCCAGACTAAGAACTGTAGGCTATCATATGAAAACCATTGTACTTGCAATACTTACTCGAATCTCACAATCCGACCAAAAAAGTTTCAATCCAACAGTCTCAGTTTCAAGAGTACAACTCCGGGTTTTCCTCTCAAGGAGTCGTGCATCTCAACCCTTCCTCGGAAGGGCTACGTGTCAATTTCTGGTTAGACCAACATCATCTTTAATGTATACGGTAAAGATCCGAAGTCTTTTCACTTCTGTGTTCCGTAAAACTCAGAATTTGGGGCTCTCGTCGTCGTCGTCGGTCTCAGAGAAAGAGAGAAAGAGATGGGAGGAGGACACGGTGGAGATGGACACGGTACGACCTACAAGGGCTTCACCGTGCATCACCCAAAGCGATGGCATGTCCTTACCGGGAAGGGCATGTGCGCCATCATGTGGTACTCACTCTACCCTTCTTCCTGATTTCTCCTTCCTCTATCTTCATATCCCTAATGTACTTCACATTTTCTTCTTCTTCTTCTTCTTAATTTGGTCAATTGATGGATCAACTTCATAATTCTCACGAAAAATGGGTCTTTGCCCCCTTTCTTTTCTGAAAATTATTAACATCTTCCCTCTGTTCTAATTCTGAATTTATTGGTTGCCTGATTTGGAATTTATTTCAATCAATGCCTTGAAATGTTCCTTCACTACCGGTCATTTGCATTATATCTTCGATAATCGCGCTTTCTGTTGAAATCTGAGTGTTGGATTCATTTGCTACATTCAGGAAACATTATAATTTTCGAGCAAAGTCTTTGCAATGGGTAAGTCTAGAGAACCAGAGAACCCCAAATAAGCTTTGCTTGGCAATGAGAGGTTTCCGTAGCATGCAACAAGTTAGAGAAAATGACTAAATTGACATCTCTCCATTAGTATTCCATTAGATACTTCCATAGCTTCTATATTGATAGAAGGAATTTGCTCTCTTGATTTAAACTACGGCCATTTGTTAGAAAGCTCATCATTTTCTCTATCTCCAAAAATTCCTTCTGAGTTGTTAGGATACATCTTAAGACTAGTACAAAGTTGCTCCATGACCCTCTGTTAGGGTACCGGCTTGTTGTATTTTGGAGTTTGGTTTTTATGGGGATTTGTCCACAGCAATGCACCTCTCAAATGTCATCCTTTGTCCAACACAAACGTTGACTTCGATCCTCCTTGATGACATTTTCAAAAACTTGAAAATTCCTTATTAAATCAACTCCATGGATATTAAAAATATCATCTCTAGCTTATTTCTGTTCCCTATAACGTATTCTTCTATAATCGCTCTTCCAAAAGTTCTATTGGATTTGTACTAGGGATGCAAGTCAGGCTGCTCAACATGAAGGGTTTCAACTACACCAGGCTCAGGTTAGGGTTCAGGGTCAGACCCATTGAAAATTTAAAGAATTCCTAACCCAACCTGACCCACGTCGCATCCCTGTTTGGTACTGAGTCTCTGAAGCCAGTTTCTTAGAAGTTAGAACAGTGACATCCTTGTTCACTTCTAATGCCTGTAATAGTGAATTCTCCTTTCAATAAGCCGCCATTCCCCCTTGATAAGTATTTGTTCTTTCAATATGCCAACATTTCCCATGTCTCCAACAGGATGAGGTTATCTTACCCAGCTTCAGAGTTAGAGTTTGTTCTAGGCGGTTGAAAATTGAAAGTTAGATTTGTAAGAAATAATGTGCTTGAAGATAAGTGACATGCTAAGCATACCCGTATCTAAAAGATGAGATACTGACACTAGATATGTCATGGACACTTTTATATGGTATATTATAACAACTCTTTGCAAGAAGTACCAAAACTGTTAGAAGTTGCATTGACATCAGCCAACTGGTGACAGATACAATCTAGCACATGAGAAGATGATCTAACTGGAAGCTACTACAAGCTGTCTCAGCTTGTAAAATTGGTGGATTTAGTTACGAACAGACCTGAGATGGTATGCCACCTTCAACCCCCACCCCCAAAGTTTACCCAAGAGTGTTTCAACCGTGATTATGAATTTCAAATCTGAGGGGGAGATGACATCCATGGACTGAGGAGTATCAGATCTAGTGGTCAGTAGTCCTAGTGGTATCTCTTAGAAATCATTCAGTTCCCTCTTTAAATAGAGTTTAATGAAGTCAATACTCAGTATCCATCAACAAAAGGGTTGGTCCCAGCTATCTGGGGTCTTGAAAGAGGTGAATTGTTACAATCTTACAGACATAACCTTTGGCATTATCGTGCACAAAGTGGCTGCTGCAAAACTCAAACACATATTCTCATGCTTGTCTGGACGCAGTTTTACAACTGCACCAATCTTTGGTCCATCAATCAGTTATGATATTGGGCTTGCCCCTTTGCTACCTTAGTCCTAGAATCTGCTGGGTAGCTCTATCTTCTCCAAACCTAGTGGGAAAAATGATTAGCCTAAAGTTGAAGTGCACTCCAAGCTCAAGGGCATAATTTCCATTCCAAGCTTAGCGTAGAGAGAACCAGGCATCAAAGCTCATTGGTCATACCCAGTCCTTTTGCAACCTGCATTTGAAGAGGAGATAACATTTCTCATTACTGTTGACAAGAAGATAAACCTTTATGCTAGTAGAGAATGAACCTTTAACCTAAAGGTGAGGAAGGTCGGAGAACTTGAGGACCTGGTTAGCAGTTTTAAGGGGTATGCACTATGAACATATTAAAAGTGAAATCTCACTGTCATGGGACATAAGAGGATTACTTTCACTTAAAGAAGGGTCAATTATCCTGTATAGAAAGTGTAAGCTCAATGCAATTATCATCTAGAATTCTAGAGATTAAAAGGTTGCAAGGCCTCTAAATCTTACAGGATTCAAATGGGAGCTTGTTTCATACTTTCATTAGGGGTCAGAGGGGAGTCCGTATGCATGGAAAAGAAATCTATTAATAAATTTGATGGCAGGAATAGGTTTTCTTTTGCAGTAGAGTGAGGAGCTCACCAAGCATGTGAGGGTGCACATCTTCCTTGGGGTGAGAAGAAACAAACACACTTGGCATTGTTCTCATGAAGATGTTAAAAAATCATGTTGAAAAGATGCTGCTATAATTTACTTAACACTAATACTTTTAAGGTGGTCCTTTGTCTTATTAAACCTTGAGGTTGAAGATAGAAGCACCTAAGAGTTTGCCATAGTGAAATCCCCCTTCTTTAGGAATAGGGCATCCCAGTGCATGAGGCTCCCACCAATGTGGGGTCTGGGGAGGGACAGATGTACGCTGGCCTTACCCCTGAACATATAGAGAGGCTGTTTCTGAGGAAAATTTTGAATGGCTGTCATGGTAGCTTTGTTGTAGTTCCCCCCCTTCTTGAGTTGTTTTTTTGATAAATAAGCAAAACTATTTCATTAGTTGTATATATGTAGATGGTTCAACCCTTACCCGGCTCGCTTTATCAAGTTGTTAAAAATAGATGATGCATAAAAGTTCCATTTAAACACAAATTCCCTTGTTTTTTGCCTATTGGACCCTTTCGAATCCTAAGATCAATACTCCAAGAAGCTATTGACATCTGCACAATGAAAAATGAAAGACAATTTGAAGCCTTGAAAAAATTCAGCAGTTTCCTCACACCCTTTCCCCTTAAATGACCAACAAATGGCAAATGAGACCACCTATCAAACAATGGACTCTATACCTCCCAACATAGAAGGCCAAGGTTAGTGGTTTCCCCTTTTTTTTGATAAGTAACAAGAAAATTTTATTAAAAAGGAGAAAACTGAATGCAAATTAAAGGCAGGTGTTAAGATAACACCCTCCAAACCCAACAACTTCTACTAACTGCCTAAAATTAAAAAAAAAAAAAAGAGCAGGGAGAGGAAACAAGAGATAACATTACTCTTGCACAACAACCACTAGACCAGCAGAGCAAATACTATGCGCAAGTCAATCTTCCACCTCACCAAATTCTTCTGGGCCTTCATCCTCATCCCAAAATTCTCCCCCTAATGCTTCAGGAACCTTTCTCAAGCTTTCTTTCTTGCTCTTTATCTAGAACGCTTCAAATCTTCTAGCAAAGTTCTCTCCTACTAAGAAGAACAAGCCCAAAGACTTGCCATTTCCACCTCTTTGTCAACTAGAGTCTTCAACTCCGTGCTTCCTTTTTTTTTATGAATGAAAATAATTTATTAATCCAGAAATTAAGGCAATACAGGAAACCCATGAAGAGGCACGAGCTGTTACCTCTTCTAACAATGTATTACATCAATTAAAAACAAGAATAAACAGAAACAAAATTACATAGCAGCCCAAAACAAATGATCCCTTGAAACCCCTTGCTTAGCTAGTCCATCCGCTAAGGAATTTGCTGATCTTTCCACCCAAAGAGAGGTAACTGTCATATTTCTTGTGAGCCAATTGACTTTCCTTAATAAATCTCTATATCCCCACATAGCTGAAGGTCAGCCGTCCCACAACAATTTTGGAGTCTCCTTCAACTATCCAGTATTAAACTCCTAGTTGTTCAGCAATCTGGATGCCTTGTACAGCCGCTAAAATCTCTGCTCTATTTGAGTCTCCTGTTCCCACAGGGCCTGAAAACAATGCTAAAATGTTGATCTCCTTATCTCTCAGCAACCCTCCTATCCCCGAAGGGCCTGGGTTTCCTTGGCTGCTATCATCGAAATTCAGCTGTGCCCAACCTTCAAGCGGAGGCTTCCACACTGCAGCTGCCTTGTCCTTCCTCGTATGACTACTGGCTACTGCCTTCCAGTTACTCCAAATATCATGAAAGGAAAATGTATGAAAGAAGTCCATAGTTCTTAGCCAATGAATGACTCTAGTCAGGATACAATCCTCAATAGTTTGTATGCTTCTTTCCTTTTCTTTAAATACCCTAGCATTCCTTTCTTCCCAAATTGTCCACAAGGCTGCTGCTCTAATACATCTCCACATTGTTTTTCCTTTTTTGTAGGCCACACAAAAAAAGAAGGATCGAACAACTGAGTTAATTCTGTGGACAGATTCCACTTGCACCCAAACAAAGAAAAAGTCCAACTCCAAATAGCACTAGAAAAGGAACAAGATACAAGTAGATGGGAGCAATCCTCACCACTAGCCCTATAAAGTACACACCAGTTAGGGGACAAGCACATGAAAGGCCTTTTCTTTTGCAAGCAGTCCAGAGTATTGATCTTTCTATAAAACACCTCCCAGCAGAAAATTACAATTTTAGGAGGAACAGGTCTAAACCAAATCTCCTTAGTTGGAAAACCCAACTGTCCCATGGAGGAGCAAAGGGGCTTAAAAAAGGAAGCACAAGTGAAAAAACCTTTTGGATGAGGGGACCATAGTTTCACATCCGTACGAAGAGGGTCCAGAAAGACACTGCCAAGAAGAGACAACAATTCTAAAGCACTACTAAGTTCAACATCCCTCAAACCTCTCCTAA